CCTTGCTCTCAGTTCTTTCACTGCCCTGAGGTTCTTCCAGTTCTTCCAGTTCTTCCAGGCCTGTGCATCTCCCATGAGCCTTTGCACACCCTGCCCTCTGCCTGGACGCTAGCCCTTCTTCAGTAGGTCACTCCCCACTCTCCTTTGCATCTCGGTTTAAATGTCGCTTTTCCTGACACTCAGACTAGGTCAGCTTCACCAGCATCTCAATGCCACATTGACATCTTCTATTTGCTATTAAAATTGTTAAAAACTTTAGGCACATGAAGTTTAACAGAGTTTAACTGAGCAAAGAATTCTCAGTCAGCCTTCAAAAGCAGAGGAGGTTCAGAAAGCTCTGTTTCGCCCCCACGGGCAGGCGGCATGTATGGATGGAAACTGAAAATGAGGCACAGAGGCAGCTTGCTGAGCAAACTGCAGACAGCTTGGCCTGGGCCTTGCGTGAATGTGGTCTGCCTGAGGTTGACGGAAGCTCCTCTGCTGAGATTGGCCAGGGCTCAACCATCTGCTGCAGCAGCAGGCTCTGAAGGTAGGCTTCTGGCTAGTGTGCGTGTTGTTTAGCAAAGTTTCAAAGTACGGAGGCATCCCCAGGCCAAATTAAATTGAACATCATCAAACAACTAATTCATATTTAACATCTACCTCCCCTCCAATGATATAAACAGCAACTATCTGCTACTCGTCTGTCCCTGAAGCCTGGCACAAGGCTCAGTACGCTGATGACATTTGGTACATCTCTTTTGAACCAACTCATTATAGGAGAGTGTCTTTTTGCCATACTTCTTCAGACTTCAAGAATGATACAAGTCAATGGGTGATTTTGGATATCCCAAGAAAACAAGTGAGACCTAGTTAGAATTTATAAGTGCAATACCTTAAATCTTTAAATCAAAGAGTCTGAAGAATCCCACTTTGTTGCTACTGAAAGATAGGAATAGAAAAAGTTTCCTGGACAACTTGATGTCTGCCATCAAAACACACAGCCAAATCCTTTATGTGGCTTGTGGCCTCCAAATGGGTCATTACCAATTTACCAGTGGTGATGAGCAGCTGTTATTCCATTAAGTTAAATGCTGTTGCCATTCAAGTCACCTTCCTGGTGCTGAAATGTATTTCCCCATGCAACCATCAAAACCAGCTGACCGACAAATGAACATGCTTTTGGTTCTGGACTTTTCAAGAAAGTTAAATGTTCATTTATTTAAAAACAAATCCAAACACCAAATCCCAGTTTTGAGTTAGGCATGACACACAATGGAGGGTGGTGTAGAGAAATCAGCAAGATGCTTCCATAAGAATCCAAGGAGAAGTGATGTGATGATCTGACTACATGAAACCAGGTGGCCAAGCCATGCAGCCACGGGGGTGCTCACATGTGGCTCCCATCCACTCCTGCTACCTCCATCTTGGAATCGGGGATTTTGTCCTGGGCACCAAGCTGCTTCTTGGTAAACACAAGACACATGTTTTATCTAGCTGCCCCTCTCTTCCCAGCAGTTTAAAATTGGGAATCATGTCTCAGAGGCACACATCCAAAAGCAAGCAATTTAAAACAACACCTTTGGGCTGCTAATCTTCTGCTTTTAGCATCCTTGATTTGTGAAAGAGCTGTGAGCTTGAGACTGGCATTGATACTGCGACGAGGTGACGCTTGACTCCAGTTCTCACTAGGCCATTATCACCTTAAAAGCAGAGAGGCTGATGGGTGCTCTGTAAAGTGACACTAGGAATTACATTTAAGGCCTCTGCCAAGGAACTAGGCATTACCACAAAGGCAGCTCAGCTACGTCTGCACAGAGCACAGGGCCTGCCTCCCAGAAGAAGAAAGATACCACCTCCCGTTGTCCAGAAGCCCAGATACCTCTCCCGAACCTTTAAGGGTTAGAATTTCCAAAATTTGACTGACAAAGCCAGGGCCCCGTGCCCCCGTATTGATGTCATTCATTTCTAATATTAGCCGTGGAGCATTTCAGGTTCACCTGGGAAAGAGGAGCTTTTATTTTTGAGTTGAACAGAGCAGATACTAAAAATGAACACAGTGAGACTCGCTCCTGGTACATCTGATGCAGATAAAATAGGTGGACCTGTGCAGCGAGACTGTTTTGAATCCAATGGGAAAGGAATTTGATCACATTGGAAATTTGATGTGCTCATAGGGTTTTTAGGTAGCCTCACTCGTGAGAAAGTGTGGAGGAACTATGAAATAAAATGAAATTATGTGAAGTTTGGTTGCAGAATGTCACACAAGATGATTCTATGTAGGTGAGACGGAGGCTTAAGGGGAGGGGTGACAGCCCAGCTAGATTGTAAACTTGGTCATTATTTGAAGTTTCAGCCACACAAACAAGTTACCAAATGGCACGCCTTGGACTCATTAGGTCACATGTGTGAGGCATCTGTCATCCAGCAGGGTTTCAGTGGAGGGGAGCGGCTGGACAGTCGCCACCTCTCTCCTTAGTATTGCACAGACACTGACGGAGGCAGGAAGACACAGGTGTGTCATCTGAATAATAGAAACAGAGGCAGGATCTCATGCCCAGAACTGGAGGAAGTTCCTCCTCCCTCTCCATCTGCAGAGTGAAGGGCACCATGAGTCAAGAGTGCTGACGTCACCCAAGTCATGCAAAGACTTAAGCCAGGACGGAGAAGGGCGATGAGCCAAATGACCCCGACACCTCTAGCATGGAAAATGCCGGCACTTTATAAATGAACACATGGTTCATAACCACTCTGTATAGAGGAGGAAGACATTTAGAGACGAGAAATAGGGAATAAAGAGTTAAAGGAATAAGAACACTAAGGCTCAAGGTGGGGACCTAGCACCATGGCATCAGTATTTATTTGTAATTGAACTTGCCTTACACTTCAGATTTTTCTCAGGCTTTTGCTCCAGAAAAGCTGACCTGCATGTTTAAACAGCAGTGGGGGCTGGGGGGAAGGCCACGTTTATCTAGTTCTCACTGCTTTGCAGTCATTTTTGCTGAATTCTCAAGTCCAGTCTTCAAAACCCACAGCGGAGTGATCATGATTGTCTGAAGTCACTGTCACAGAAAAATAGGGCAAATAGGTGCTAAGCTGTTCCTCCTAAGTACCCTCTGACACAAGCTTGCTTTGTTTAGTTTGTTAGAAAAACCTCTTGAGTCTAAAGCCTTCACCTCCGGACTGTCTCCCTCTGTGGGGTTCTGCACCCAGTTGCTCCTCCCTGTTGTTCTCAGAATCACTGAAAGATATTAGAATTGCGTGAAAACCCTTAATAGGTCCATTTTCCCCATGACAAGCATGAAGTCGTGCAAATACAAACCTGTGCAGCTCCCCACGATTATGTGCTCCCAAATATCTCCCCGTGGGACATACCCCAAGGCTGTCCTTTGTTGGACTTGAGGTTTCCTGGGGGGAAGGACTGCACCTTGCTCCTCTCTATCAATCACAGCACCTGGCATGCTGGGACACTCTGGCCTCTCAGGGAGACTTAGAGACTCCTCCATGCTGAACATCTCTAGTTCAAGACTGCCATTCACTGATACTGTACTTTGTTTTGGTTTTGATTTGGTCTTTTTTATTCTCCCCACTATAGAGCTTTTTCTCTAGATTCCTATCTTAACATCAGTAGATGTTTAGACTACAAAGAAAGGTCTTCTGGTTGCACAACCTGTGGATTTCTGAGAATCTGCTGAAAGCGCAATGTCTTATGAAAAGCATTTTCACAGAGTCCAATTCTTTCCCTCCTGCTTAGTAGCTTAGACATTCCTCACACATTTCTTACATGACAGTTATCTTGCAGTGGGAAACATCCATGAATTTGGGGAATTTAGCAACACATCTGTTGGGGGGGGTCTCAGAGTAGGATGCCACCAAGAAGCACTCCTCCTCCTGTTTGTTTACTATGTCACATGCCAGCACACAGCGACATGTCCTACCCCTCAGTGGGAATGCCATGCCAGGCATTGCTACCCCGTCTTACTGTTGAAGAAACTGAAACTCAGGAAAAGGACAGCTGCTTCCCAAGGCCACTGGCCCCTTGTGACCGTGGGTCAAAACCCCAGGTCCTCCAATCCTTTGCATCACAATGCACTTTTGACCACACTATGAAATTACATGTGTGGCTTCAGTGGCAGTTTAAGAGCAACCACTGTAAGCAGGAGAAAAAAGCTTAGTGCAGGCGAGTGTACCGATCACACACTCTCAGGCTGCCAACCTGCAGCAGCACCGCTGGCTGGAAGGCCCGTGCCGTGGGCTTTGCCTAGGGGACAGCAAGAGGAAAAGTGTGTCTGGCCCCAGAACAGGGAGGCACTGTCCCCAGGTCACAACTGTTGAGCTGTGCCTCTTCGACTGGACCCCAGGCTGCTCCTGGGAGCCATCTCCTCCCTCCCAATTTGTAGTCTTCTGCCACGTGTCGGTCAAAAGACAGAACAACGGGCCGAATCCAGATTCCTCAGGTGGAAAGGCAAATGGGTGCCAGTAGAAAGAAAAATGTGCTTCTTTTCCTTGATAAGCTTTTTGGGATGAAAGCAAAATTGTTGAGGAGGAAAAGGAGACTCGTTTTGAAAGGCACTGTTGACCTCCCTGTGGTCACTTTATGTCACCTGGTGTTTAAGAAGTAGAATTCAGGCTGGGTGACCCCAGAATGCTGTGGGCTCTTCTCTGGATTTGAAGGTCACTTTGTTAGTGTGGGCCACGGGCATCTAGGGCCAGCTGTGTGTCAGTCTCCATGAGGGTGCTGGGAGGTTGGTGGGAAAGTGCCTTGCCCTGGAAGAACTCACATTCTAGAAGGGCAGAGAACAAGTTGGAAAAGAGACCATTTGGGACTGAAACATGGGGGATGCTTGGTCCTTGTGCTGAGCCTGGCAGATCTCAAGTTTGCCAGTTGGAAAGGCAGCTGCTTCCCCAGGCCACAGAGGCTCTGCCTCTCCCTGGACAAGGAGCATACCACGTTCATGGATGGGCTGCACAGTTCCACCTGAGGAGCAATGACCATGTGCTGCTTTTTCTTTTCATTCTAGGAATCTTGGAAAATCAGGACTCAGAGTTTCTTGCTTGGGTCTTGGTAAGTACCCAGGGAATCTCAATGGGTGGCTGGAAGGTGGAAGGCTGGGGAGTGGTCAGGGTGATCGTGGCTCAGTGGGTCCAGGCACAGCGAGGCTTCCTGGCCAGCACTGCTCCCCTCCCCTTGAGGTTTCCCCTGCCCAGCAGGACCCTGTCCTCTGCAGACCTCCCCACCCAGTGGAACGAAGGACCCCTGGGTGCACCTCTATGCTCCCCAGCAGCCCCTCAGCTCCCCTGAATTTTTTCTATCCATAACATTTTTCCTTTGCCTAACTTGCTCACTTGTTTTCCTATATCATCACATATTTTATATACTTTTATAAATATGGGGGGCAAGGTGAGATGCATACATAAGTGCCCTTTCACATATATTAATCAATAAAATATTTTATTCCTAGAGCTGAGGGCAGGGCTCAGTGAGAACTCTTGCCTACCGTGTGCTAGGTCCTGGATTCCATCCACACCACTGCAAAAAAAAAATAAAATAAAATAAAATCTTATTCCTCACAGAAAATGAAAATATTGAAAGAGGCCCCACTGGAGATGGCAGCTGTGAGACCATAGGATGACTGACATGGGGAAGTCTGAGTACATGGGGGGACCTGAGGCATCTGGATCCCTTCAGACCTTGGCAGAGTTGGCCTGGGCATCAGACATCCAACAGCACAGGGACTGTACCTGCAGCCCAAGAAAGCCTGGGCTAGGGCAGCCTCTGGGGATGTGTGAGAAGTGGCCAGCTCACAGCGACCTCTGTGGGGGCTGGGAGGTGTTCTGCTGGGATCTATGTGGAAGGGGAGAGAATCAAAGGAGGCTCTGAGATGTTCTGCCTGAGCACCAGGAAGGGTGGAGCCTCGTCCAAGACTGAACTGAACTATTAAAACCTAGCAGATGAGATGTGGAAGAAAAGGAGGGGCTAGGGAGGAGAGAGACCAGATCCACTGTGGACATATTAAATTCGAGATGCCTATTAGCCGTGAAAAGTTGCCAAATAAGTAAACGGACATATGAATCTAGAATTTAGAAGGAATCTGGGACAACATGCAAATTCGGAGTCATTAATGTGTGGATGCTCTCTAAGTCGTGATGCGCTGAGACAAGAACTCTAAGAGGGAGCTTAGCTTAGATAAGTGAGGCAGGTGATCTGAGGCCCCAGATTTCCAACTCTGAACAACTGAAGAAACGAGGATGAGCCGGCAAAGTAAACTGAAACTAGTGTGGGGAGAATCAGGAGAGAAGGAAGTCCTGGAGCCCCAGGAAGGTGGAGGGCCCAGGACTGCAAAGTGCTGCTCCTAAATCTAGCAAGACGGGGGCTGAGAATGGACTGTCAGGTTCACATCATGGAGGCCACTCCTCCTAAAAGCAGACTGAAAAGCACATATTTTTTCCTAGATTTTTTTTAAGAACAGGCTTTATGGTAAAGACTGAAAAGACTGCTTTTAGGAGGAGTAGGGACTGAGCACAGCTAGAGTGGGCAAAGAAGGCAAAGAGCACAGATTCTGAGGCCAGCTGGGGCCTGAGGGTGCTGGTGGCATGGAGGCATCTCACTGAGGCTGTCTCTTCTGGCCACCATGTTCCCAGTGGTCATCAGAAGCAAGGTTGTCAGAGTTAGTGAGGGGGAAAGAGCCCTGGAAGTTGGAAGGGAGAGGAGAGGAGAGAGCAGAGGGGCGAGCCACCCAGGGCATGCATCACGGCGGCTGGATGGCCTGGAAGTCCTGCTTAAGATTCAGGTTAAGGGAGGTGCAGTGAGACCATACCGTGGTTGTGGGGTTTCTCTGCCAGGTGCAGCTGCGCAGGTCCAGGTGGGGTTTTATAAGGTAGGAAGGAGGAAGGAAAGAAGCTGAGGGCGTTGGAAGGGCTTATTGCAATGGTGGACCTTGGGTGTCACTTGGGAGGGGAATGAGGATGACAGCCAGGAAAATGAGCCAGGAGCAAGACAAAGACTGCAGTGGGGCAGTGGCAAGTGGCTAGGACCAAGGCATCCTGCAGGGGCCAAGGGTTGCTGGAATGAGCACACTGGAGAGGGGCAATTGGAAAAGGGAGGTGGCCCAGGGTTACGCTGTGGTGCTAAGGATATCTAAGGGGTGGCTGGGGTGCAGAGGTGGGAAGCAGGCACCAACAAGGGTCACTGGACAGTCAGTGTGGCCAAAAGGGCTGAAGAGACAAAGAGAAGACTCAACTCCAAGGAGGGGTGTGTGTAGGGGTGCCGCGTGGGGTCCTGAGGATGGGTCAGGGCTGGTGTGAGGGATGCGGACGGCTTCTTCCTGCTGGTGGGACCTGGGAGGTGACCATGGCCTTTGCTCTCCCCAAGTCTAAGGTAATTTAACATTTGCTTAGTTTATGGCTCTGACCCCATTCGTGTTTAGTAGAATTGGAAAGACCCCAGAGATTCCTTATCAGGAACAATTTTTCCCTACATTTTTAAAGAACAGGCTTTATGGTCAATAATTACTCTGTACTCATTATTGAAAGAAATTACCTATAAATATAAATTTAAAATACAGTGAAGGAGGAAAATAGAAATTATTAAGAAATTCAAATATAAATTAAGAAATTAAAATATATAAGTAGAGAAATCAACAAAGTTCATTGAGCAATTGTCTTAGAGTTGGTAACTGTGGTGAAAAATAGTTTGGTCAATACTATATGGAAAACTCAACCCAAAGCGCCTACCACTGACAAGTTCAAGAGTCCCCAAATGCCTTGTGTCAACGAGTCCCAGGGGCCTGCCGAAGTGTGCATTTTTGTTCAATGCAAGGGGTGAGCTGGGGCGTGTGATGGTTCCTGGGCAGCAGCGCGACGTGATCCTGGCGGGAGCTTCAGGTGTCCCGAGCCTGCCCACCACATTCTGATACTGCAGAGAATAGGTCAGGGCAGCAGAGCCCGTGCTGACCGAGCGCTCTTTGGAAACATTCCTGAGCCGCCTCTGTAAGCCAAAGACACAATACTCAGCCTTAGATCATATCAGGCTCCGCAGACCCCAGCTGTCCAGTCCAGGTGGAGCCTGTTCACTGCAGAGGCCCGGGTGTCAGTTCAGTCATGCCCCCAGTTCAGCTGGAGCTGAAATGAAGTGGTGGAACCACCTGGCAGGGCTGGAGACCAGCACAGCGCAGACCTACTAACATAGCGAAGCCCTGGGCTTGATCCCCAGCACCACAGCCACAACAGCAAGACCTCCAGGCAATTGAAAGACCAGAGACATCTACAAAAACTTCAAAGGTCAGGGTTAAAAGTGACAATTCTGGCATCCTTCCACATCAGAGGAGAAACTAGGAACTCTGTGCCCTTCCCAGCTTTCTTTCTTATTCTTTCTTTCTTTTCCTTTTTTTTGGGGGGTGGGGGGTGGGGTAGTCAGGGTTAGTCTCACTAAGTTGCTGAGGTTGGCCTTCAACTTGCCATCTTCCTGCCTCAGCCTCCAAGTCTCTGGGATTACAGGCATGCACCACCACACCCAGCTGTTCATTCCTTCTTAAGCAAACATTTGTGAGGCCTGGCACTATGCTGGTTTACAGAGGATCTTGAGAGGAAGTCGGCAGGAACCCTGCTCTCGACTCATTCACGGTGCAGTGGGGATGATCAGCAGGCAAAACCAATGGGCAGTGTGTTTGGCAGATGCCACAGTGGAGAGCACGAGTAAACCGAGCATAGGGACAGCTCCTGGGGGACTTGGGGTGGCTCCATGGGGGAGGTGCCCTGGACCTAGACTTGAAGGAGTGCAAAGGGAGGGAAAAGCCCCCAGACTGGCAGCGCCACATGCCATTTCTAGAGGGAGACCTGTGGAGGGGACTTGGAAACCAGTGGTGTGTACTGGACACGAGAGGGCAGGTGCTGGGAGGTGGGAAGGGAAGCTGGAGGGGAAGCAAGGCTGGACCCCAGGGCCCTGGTGGCCTTGCTGATGCACTTAGCTCGGCTCCTGGGGCTCCATTCCCCTGAGTCCTGGGGTCCCAAACTCTTGGGAAGGGCAAGCAGGAAGCGGGGCAGGGCTCCACCTTCTCTACCCTCTTCATTCCCTTCCACAGCTTCCGTCAACATAGCTCCACTTTTTCTTCATATTGTAAATTTTTAACAATAAACTTTTTAAAGAGCTGTTTTAAGGAAACAGCAAAACTGAGCAAAAAGTGCAGTTTCCATAATGCCCATCCCCCACACAGGCACAGCATCCCCACCAGAGCAAACCAATGTGGGGGCGTTGGTGACAATCGAGGATCCACATTGACACATCACCCAAAGCCCACGGTTTTGCACTGGGGTTCTCTCCCGCTGTGCATTATGGGGCTGGGACAAGTGGGTCACAGCAGGTACCTGCCAGGATGGTATCATGGGTCCTGCTGCCCCCACATGCTCTGCCTACCCATCCTTCCCGCCCCTGAGCTCTAGAAATCAGGGATCTTCTCCCACCTCCACAGTTCTCCTTCCTGTGTAGTTGGACTCATACAGCCTGCAGCCTCTAAAATTTAAAGCATATGCAAGTGGCTTTTTCACTTGTCTATGTTTTAAGTCTCCTCTGTGTCTTCTCATGGCTATGTCATCTTTTTTAGTGCTTTATATTGCCACGGGTGGGGGTGGTATCCTCTGCCAAGAAGTTTTGAAACCTTGCTTTCATAAATGAAGTGCCACTAAGCTTGGATCAGGACTGGGACATGGTCAAACGCGTTAGCATTATTTCCTGGCCACAATGTGAAGCTGCTTAGAGGGGAAGCTTTGAAACCAGAGACAGGAGAGTCATATCCGTCAGAGGTGAGGTGATGGTGAGACAGAGAAGGAAGAACAGTCAGGACCTTTGACCTGCGGTACAGAACAGGAAGTCTTCCAAGCAGAGGGGCCAGGCTCCTGGACAGGACATGAAGGTGGCCCAGCTGAAATCCCTGCAGGCAGGACTGCTAGAGGAAGCTGTGGGAGCACACACAGGACTCACACTGTTGGGGGTAGTGAAAAGCCTGTGCCCTCCCAGCTCCAAACATGGGCAGAACACGGGAGCTCGGGAGAGACTCTAGGCTGCCAGCA